TAAGAGGCATAAAGGGATTTATAAGGCAGAAATTTAAAAGTAGACACTCAAAGAAATAGAGTGCGGGTCCAAGAGAATACACATACACACAGAGAAAGAGGGTGAGAGAGAGAGAGAGAGAGAGAGAGAGAGAGAGAGAGAGAGGCATTCATAGCCTGGGGCTAGATATATTTATGGGAAATTTGTATGTGGAACTCTGTATAAACTTGTGAACCTGTGGAAAGAGGGCATTCAATTTACAGGTGAAAGGTAGCAGCTCTTTATGTGGTGGCTGAAACCATTCACAGGTAAAAGGGGATGGGGCAGGCTTATTGTGCTTTGACACACACACAAATTTTTTTTTTAAACTGGACTTGTGTCCAGAAGCTATAGTTTTTATTTTTAAAATTATGATTTTCCTTATCTGTACCTATCTTTATTTCTTCTATCTTGCCTCAATATCACAATTTTTCCTTTGAAAAATCTGTTTATTCAAAGCCAGTCAAGGCATTCAAAGTGAGGAAATAAGAAAAGTTGAACTTCACCTCCACATGACTGATGTCTCTGGAAGTAACTGTCAGATATAGAAACTCTTCTATATACAGCTGTTTCAGTCCATTTCAGAAGATGAAACATACTAGTAGAGTATTTGTTGGTTAACTTAAAGTTACTGGCTGAGGACCGCCAGCACACTTCTTATAGACTTTGGTTTTCTTTCAATTTGTCTATCCAGAGACATCTTTGCACTCCATTACTGTGCCAGAACTGAGCCTGTTCTGGGTCATAGTGAAGTTCTTGGCCCTAAGAATACATGGTTTCTCAGTACCTCAAACATATTTTTGAGTTCTCTTTCTAGGACAAAAACATAGCAATAAAATGTAGCACCTGACTGAGCCATTTTATCTTTGATGAATTTATCCTTAGTAGACAGGAAGATTATAATAGAAGTGTTAGTTTTGGATGTCCGGTGGAAACACTAGGAAGCAAATAATGTTTGCCAGTAAAGCATAATCTAGTCAGGAATGCCTGATTTGCATTTCTTGATCCAGGAACATTCCTTTTGATCTTCTCCCTGTAATATTTAAGCCATGCAAAGCAGATGATAGCCTTCCAGTAAATGCTTGACTTTCCTTGTCCGATTTTCTGTATAGCCTAGGACACAATTCAGGGTTTATTTGGCACAGCCTTCTCTCCTCTCCTCCCCTTCCTTCTCCTCTCCCCTCCCCTGCTCCTACCTCTTCTCTCCTCTCCTCTTCCTCTCTCTTTCTTTCTTTCTTTCATCACTGCATCATACTTTAGAGTCATGTTGACAGTACAAGTAAATATATTAGGTTGTGTAAAATTCTCAAGGAGAAGCCCAACTTTGTAATATGGAGATATGGTATAGTCAATTCCACTGAACAGAGAGAGAGCATATACATCCTCACATCGTTGAGTTTTTTCCCTAAAACAATGTCTCTAAAATGATTACTAACAGCGTACAAATGTATGAAGATAATATAAATACTCTCTAATGTGGAAAATTGCTATTTTTATATTTGTAGACTGAAAATGATTCAAATTAGGAGTATTACATTCTGTCATTTAAATAGAACAAATTCAGTTTTATCTGCCTGTATTAGTGAACAAAATTGACCATTTACCCCATTATTTTCAATATTTGTAGAAATATTATGAACCAGACATTGTTCTAGATGTTTGAGACACAGAGCTTAATAATAATTGTGCCTATACAGTTGGAAGGAGATAGAATATGACCATGAATCACACCTTCAGTTTTTGAAAGAGCTTCCCCCAAGAGGTGACATCTGAACTGAGAGAAAAAAGAAATAGCCAGGTGAAAAAAGTGAGTGTGTGCATGTGGGGGATAATATGGGGTGGAGATAATAGCAGGCATTGTAAAGAGAAGAAAGTGGATGTGCAAAGATCTAGAGATGGCAGTACCTGTTGTATGCCAGAGTACCCCAGAAAGACTGAAGGCTCCTAAAGAGCAATAGAGAATATGATGTGCTGAGTTCTGACCAGTAGGTGTCTCTCTTACTGTTTTATTCCACCTTAGAACCATCACTGTTATTTTAGTATTTTACTGAATTTCTTTCCTTATAAAGAAAGATTGGAAATTATCCATGGATCAACATGTCTTAATGTGCAAAATTTGAAGGCTTTAACTGCTTTAAGGGATTGAGGGAACTTCTAGACGATAGCAGATATTTTTATTATCTAGACATCAGAATTCTCAGCTATCGTTTTTAAGAGTCTTAAATGATCCAGTTAAAAGAGGCAGCTTATCAGATCTGAGAGGAAAACAGTATTGAAGTGATTCAGCATTTCCACTCACTGATAAAAAAAGAAATAAAACCATTTCAATGCTAATAGAGACAGGAACATCAGAGAGATCTGGCTGTTTATATAGCAGGTGGGGTGTCACTTTTTTTTTTTTTTTTTTTTGTACCAGGGGTCAAACTTGGGTCCTTGCGCTTGCGAGGCAGGCGGCGGAACCACTAAGCTAAATGCCCAGCCCTGGTGGGGTGTCACTTTCATGGCATTTCCTACAGTCCTGAGCATCACCTGTACCATGTAGCTCAGAACTAGTTCAAACCAGTCTATGCTCCCAGGAAGGAAAGGTCTCTTAAGACCACATGGTTTCCCCACATGGTTTCTTAAGACCACATGTGGTTTCCCCAACCACAAAAGATAATTAATTCTCTAGGATTCCCACTGTTCTATTTAAGATGAGAGCATCTACCAGCTGTCCAGTTACTAAATGGCTGGCTCATACATTGTCTTCTCAAAGGAAAATCTGTAAGGAGTTATAATCAGAAGTTTTCTTTACAAGTTTGAAATCAGGAAGAGGAAGTTGAATGACTTTAATGGACAGTATAATTAAGGTATGATAGCTTTTATTGGTTTCCAATCTAGAGATGTATCTTAAAAGGAAGTTCTAACATACTGATCAGAAGCCTTCCACTAAACAGTAACAAATTATTGATAACTCTTTTCCCTAAATTGCATGATATCATCATTTTGTTGACACCATTTTGTGTGTGTGTGTGTGTGAGGAGGGTTACTGGGGCTTGACCCCAGGGAGCACTAGCTTATTCCTCAGCCCTTTTTAATTTTTTACTTTGACTCAGGGACTTGCTAAGTTGCCTAGTTTGGCCTCAAACTTGCAATCCTCTTGGCTTAGCCTCCTGAGTAGCTGGGATCATGGGAGTACAGCACCATGCTGGTGATATTTTTTGTTTAGCTATGGCTGTAGTTTTCTTCTTATATTCAGACAAGTATAGACTTCCACTCATCCAGCAGACCCTGGGTACTTCTCAGTGGCAGGTATCAAGCTGAACCTTGGGGATAGAAACTCAAGGGAAGAGAAGCAGTCTTGTAACATTAAAAAACAAAACAAGTCAGGGAAGGCTATAATAAGAATATATAAGTAAGTTCAGAGGAAGATCCACTGAATTTATTTTGTGCTTTGATTTGGGAATCATTTTGCTACTGTGGAATGTTTGAAGCACCAAATTGATTCCATTGTACATCTGTCCTGGATGGTTTATCTCTGAAAGGTTGTGCTCTCCTTGTCCCTTGAGGGATATTGATAGGGCTTGCAGCTGCTGCCTGTCCTGGCTGTGTGTGGAGACAGGCTGGAAGCCAGCATGGTGACTAGCACAGAGCTTTCCCTACAATGACTTTTTATAAAAATAGCTTCTTTAAAGCACTGAGAGCATAGCATCATACTGTAGTTTAGAATGCAGGTGCTGGAGTGAGGTACATCTTTGTTTAAATCCTTACTCTACTACATCTTTATTATGAAACTTAAAGAAGTCATAGCATCTTTAAAGCTCAGTTTCCTCAACAATATTCTGAAAATGATAAAAACCTTTCACTCAAGTGATTAGAAAATTAAAGATATAAAGCCACACAAAATGTCATGTTATAAGTTCTTAGAGCTTTTAGTTGTTAGAGAAATCTGGGTGAGAGTCTAGGACAGTGGTGGTGAACCTACCTCATGTGTGTCGCTATGAGCTATTTGTTATTACTGGAAGCTCTAAAAGGCTTGCCATCACTGGTCTAAGAGGAGTATTCCTATTTGCTTTAAATTTAGTATCCTGATGTTATTTCTCCAAATTACTATTTTTAAAAAAACTTTTTAATTCTTATTAGTACATGTTTGCAATACGTAATGATTACATTCATTGTGAGGAATTGAACATGTACATAACACATCTTAATTCTTTTTTTCCCATCCTATCTATCTATCTATTTATTTATTTATTTATCACCAGGCTCAGATTCACTTATTTATCTTATGAGTCGTTATAAAGTTAACTATCATATGTACAGGTTAACAATCAGACTAATAGGTCAAAAGACATATAAAACACACAAGACAGTTATACTAAATCTAGTACATTTAGATACATTGTCCATGCTGGATTACAGTAATTTTTTTCTTTCTCTCTTTTTCCTATTATCTGTCTTTTGTTTTGCACTTTATTTATATACTGAGTTTCTCACATGAGAGAAACTATGTGATATTTAAGCTTGTGTGTCTGACTTCCACCATAAACTATGGTTTGGTACATATTTTTTCCAGCAACAACAATAAAGAAATATAAGAAGATTTCTTATTGTTGGGAGAAGTTAGAAAGGCTTTCTTTTAAAAGAATCAAGGAGAAGTGCTAATAGGGAAAGAAGGAAGAAGGCTGATTGTTAACAGAAAGGAATTGGCTTTAAAAGGGGAAAAAAAAATGTGAGAATAGAAGAGACAAGAGGCTCAGATAATTCTGCAAGGTTGACTCTGTGTCTTCCTTAGAATTCTTGCCATGTTCTTAGAGTTTTGATTTTCCATTGTCTGAAAGGTAGGGATGGAAAAAAATTTCCCCAAAGTTTGTAGAGAATGTTGATGGAACCCATTCCTTTTGATTCTCCCCCTTAGGTATGTTTGTCCTTTATGGGTTAAAACTATTTTAGCTGTGCTTCCTTAGCTGGACCTAATCTGTTCTTTTTTTTTCCATCCACAGTGGAATAGATGTTCATTATGAAGTTACCTTGAATGGAGAGGCAGTCAGTAATACCACATGGGACCTAATTAGCCTTCATTCCAACAAAGTAGAAAACCATGGCCTTGTGGAATTGGATGATAGGCCCACTGCTGTTTATACAATTGGTAACTTCAGAGATTATATTGCTGAGACACTGCACCAGAATTTTTTGGTAGGGAATTCCTCCTTGAATCCAGATCCTGATTCTCTTCAGCTTATCACTGGTGAGTTTTAATGATGTCATAGAGTTTTTTTTAAAAAATAGTTTTAGATTCTTTTCCACCATGGTCTGCTGAAAAATAATTTATCTAATTATATGTGGTTCAGAGTTTTCTGAGAATGTATGGCACAAGAATCATTGTATTATATATGGAGCATTAGCCATGAAGCTATTTTGGATAGCTTAATCAAATGCTCTCTGGGATATTTATGGACAAGGAAAGTGGAGAATAGCATGACATTTAGAAATATTTGGACAAGTGGGAGCAAAGTATAAGGAAAAGAAAGGTAGTATAACTGAAAGTATGAATTGAAACAATCTGTAGTGCTGCAAAGCAACTAAGATATGAATTCTAGCAGAAATTCAGGTGATCAAGGCTTAAAAGGCAGACAGTAGAAGAGAAGGAACAACTCAGAAAAGCTATTCAAAGGTCTTGGTCACAGGAGAACTGGGTGCTGGGGAAAATTCAATACTAATTTTGAATTCATATAGCTGTGGAAATCCAGCTATGATCCATAATGAACAGGTAGGTCTTTTTAGAGAGATCATCAAGGAGAAGGTGACTTCCCTGGATTTGGAGGGTGAAGTGTAGCCTAATAAACCGGAGACTAAAGTTTGCTTAGAGTTGGGCTACTAGACATAACATCTTAACTCATCAGGGACATGGGGTCTGTTAATTTACTTGCTACCTCATGTTTGCTTCTCTATGATTTCATTACTTATTGATAGCTTAGCGTTTAAAATGTATATTTTATTGAAGTGAAAGTATGGGAGAAGTACCAGTTGTCAAAGATGAAAATCCATGTATGAGAGGCTATAGCCTCTTTATTTCTCATACTTTTTGTTATTTGTTTTTTGAGACAGGGTCCCATTTTTTACCTCGTGCCTCATCCTACTGAGTGCTGGAATTACAGGCATGGACCACCACACCTAGCTCTTCTCACACATTTTTCTTTTTCTTTTTTTTTTTTGGTACAGAGGATCAAACTCAGGACCTTGCACTTGCGAGGCAGGCGCCAGAACCACTGAGCTAAATCCCTGGCCCCTCTCACACGTTTTTAAAGGGAAAAGAGCTCCAATCCTTCATTAAAAGAAAACCTTTAGACAAATTAATTTAACAGTTTTGTTGAGCAAAGAATGATTCATGAGTTAGGCAGCCCCTAGAATCAGGACAGGTTCTATAAGACTCTGGGGCTTTCCCTGGGTGGATAATATTTACAAATAGAAAATGAGAGATGACTGCAGAAAATGAAAGTGAGGTTAAGGATATGGAGGATGTGGATTAATTGGTTAAAGCCTGGTTTTTGCCTTATTCTACCTGGTTTAATAGATGCTCAGCTGTTGTGATTGGCTCATACTCAGATATAATATTATATAAGTAAACACTTAAGTTAGGTACTTTTGTTTTGTTTACATTTGTAAGTACTGAAGCTTGTTTAGGTCTAATTTAGTTTGATTTAATGCCTTTCAGGCAGCTATAACCTAGGCCTGTGTATGTGTATGCGCGCAAGTGTGTGTAGATACAGAAATAAACAAACAAAAATAGACACTGGAGAAGCTAGAGAAACTCACTGGATTTACATAGAAAGGGCAAAAAATGGTTAGTGGAAGAGAATGAAATAGATTTATAAGGTAAGACAGAGAGGTACTTAGGGAATCAAGATTTTTGAGGGGTTAGAGTTTGGAGAAACAATTTTTAGAGAGATAAGAAAGCCTTGTTTGTCCAGGCAGTATCATGGTGTGTGTAGTGTGTATACTTGTGTCCATCTGTGCATACATGTATGTGGGTTGTGTGTTAGAGAGGTAAGAGACAAAAGAAAGAGAAAAATTTTACTGTGTGATATGACCCCTTATTCTTGAAAAAAGAGAACATTTTAAAACAAATACTAGGCTTTTAAACTATTTTGTCTGCTGGATGGTTGTTTCTTTAATGTGACACTGAGCTGAGACAGATCCACAAGGTAATCTTAACACTTTGTATGAGTTGCACAAGACTTTAAGATGTTAGTGAATGTTAGTGATATAAAGCTATTAGTTCTAAAACATAGATCCTTTGTATTTTGGAGCATGGTAGGCACCCTGGGCTCCTTTCCTCATAATATTCCTTTGCCTTTGTTGAATCTTGGAATAATTGGGCCAGATAAAATAGTGAACGTCTTCTCTAAGAAGCTTGCAGTCGGAAATTTCGGCCTGATCATGAGTACTGCTTATGGGCAGAAGACTTTAGGATTTTGAGTATTGGGGTCAAACTCAGAAAAAATACAGTTAAGAGGTCAAAACCTAAGGGAGGGCCGGGGATTTAGCTTAGTGGTTTCGCCACCTGCTGCTCAAGCGCAAGGACCCGAGTTAGGTCCCCGGTACCAAAGGAAAAAAAAAAAAAAGGGCCAGGTATTTAGCTCAGTGGTTCTGGTGCCTGCCTCGCAAGTGCAAGGTCCTGAGTTTGATCCCCGGTACAGAAAAAAAAAACCTAAGAGAGCTTGAAAACAAGATTGAGGACTAGGTGCAAACACCAAGGTCAGTAGCCAAGGTGACAGAAAAATGGCATGAAGATTAGTGTATGTAATGGACAAAGTGAGGTTGTTTAGGAAACTAAATTCAGAGATATCACTGCAAGATCTTCCTTTTACATGGCGCCTGGAGGTAGAGGTACCTCCTAAAAAAGAGGTCAACAATTCTCTTAGAATTTGTAATAAAATTTAACAGAAGCTTTAAGATACCTAATTCTGACCATGCCAGTTAGTGGCTTGGTTTCTTATTAACTGTATGTTTTAATTATTCAGAATTTTGTTCCTAAAGTATATTTCTATTATCATACCAGCTTCAGAGTTCTGAATGAGGTTAGAGCTTTCTAGGTAACTTGATCATCATTCTCAAAAGATATGATCATCCTTGATCTTGTGAAGCTTATTTTTCATAGAAGACAAGTTAACTATACACACAACTGGAAAGAGTTTTGGAAAATATGTAAATATGATTTTTGGCTTTTGCTTGATCCCTGTAAGTCAGGTATGTGGAAACAGGTGAATGAAGAGTTTCTGCTTCTATTTTATAAGCATACCCTAGGTCACACTTCTGGCAAATCCTTCTTTTTTTTAATCTTTTATTGATTCTTTCTCCTCTTCAGACAAAATTAATTGCTTCTTTGCCTGTGTTACATACATTATATATGCCCCTCACATTATTTTATATTTTCCAATTTGTGTTTATTTATCTCTCTGACATAGGCAATGCTTCCTAAGAGAAACTTTTCTTTATTAGTTTTTATAGTTTCACATGGGCAAAGTCTATGGTAACAACTAAAGTTTCAGTAAGTCTTTGTTGAATTAATTATGCAATCTACTTTTTAATCTACTTTTCAACATTATTATAGCAATGAAGGTATAGGTGTCCTAGCCTATCAAAGGCATTTTCTGTAAAAATAAAAATCATTTTGAAACTATTTCATGGGAATCTGGAAAAAGAGTGAAAATGGACTTGAGAGAGAAAAGGAAATAATATAGTAGTGTCCTAAATATAACAATGGTAAAAATCTTTATTGTATGTTGGATCCTTATAATTCAATCTGATTGTACTAATGTAAGTAAAATAATTCAACAACACTAACATTTGCTAAGCAAGTGTACCTCATATATTCTGCTAAAATCTAGTCTGTAAAGGGGAAGAACTTGGTTTGTAGTTATCACTACACCTCAAATACAACAGTGTTTTAGCTAAAAAAAAGTCCTTTAATGTTGTTCTTTCCTCAGTGAGAGGCGTTTTGCTTCCCCAAAGTGAAGACCTAGTTTGGAATACCCAAAGTTCAAATCTTCAGGCAACACCACAATCTATTCTGGTATGTTTCTGTGTTTTATGCCTAGAACCAGACACTTATGCTCTGTCCTTCGTCTCCTCACTCACTTACTTTGGCATCATAAATTTCTCAAGCTGTTCCCATTTCAAATATTTTCTTGCATCATCCCTGGAACATTACTCATAGTTGTCATCTCATGAGTGCCAAGTGTTGGTTCAGAAAATTTAAAACTTTCATAGTGCTTAAATGAAGTCTATAATACCAGACCACACATGGTAGAAAACTTATTATTTATGGTTCATACTTGTTTGGTGATAATTAAGTTATACGTGCCCACCAAGTTGTTTTCTGTGTTACCCAGAAATAGTTTTTATAATTAAGACAAAATTATGATTTGAGTTACATGGGTACAGTGTATAGATTTTTACTGAAAGCACAGGCATTATATTGAAGAAAGTTTAGCCACTAAAGCATGTAAAATTGTGTGTGTATAGAAGAGAGAGAAAAAGAGTAAAAGTATCGACTAGCTAACAAATGAAAGGGACTCTCAGGCCCCCTTCTAAATCGGTCTGAAAACATTCCCATTTGGACATAAACAGCATGGGATGAATTTCCATGTTTGTTTTTACCGCCCCCCCCAACTCCATTAAGAATTCCTCTTTCCACTACACTTTTACTTTCCACTTCACTTATAGGGAAATATCCACTAGAAAAGAAAATGACTTCCTCAAGTGCAGTTAAAGCAACAAAGGTGATACCTGCAAACACAATTCTAGGGACCTATCTACAATGAATATAGGAATCTCTTATTGTCGCAGATACAGGAGGGGAACTCCCTTCTCATCTATATTCTTGACTCTTTGTCCTCTCTTAAGACTTCTTTTCATCTCATATCAGCTACTTGAAAGTTTTGTTTCTTTGCATTTTCTCAGCAATGAAAATTTGGAAAGGCTTTCTGAATTCATTTAAACATTGATCTATGCAGCCATTTTTTCTACTTGGTTGTAGAGCAACTCAGTTTTGAATATGGAATTGCTGGTAATACTCTTTTTATTGAGTTCCATATTGCAGAAAAAAGGTTAAAGGAATGTTGACATTTGGTCTTCATTCATTCATTCAAATGTTTATTTTGTGCTTTTCGTATTCCAAGTGCTGAGGAAACAAAGATGTAAAGGTGTGGTCTTACTTACCAGAAGTTTCCAGTCTGGTAGTAGACAGACTTCCAAACAAATAGGGTGATTCAGATGCCAGAAGTAGTTTTAGAAAATTAAGAGGGAAAAACATTAATTCTCTGATATGGTACCACCCTAACTACTTTTTTGAAAAACAGAACTTGGTATTGAACAAATGGCCTTGTTAATTTCCTCTGAATATATATATATGTATATTTTATATATATATAAAATGAAAGTGGGATGTATATATATAAAATATGATAAGTAAAAATGTAGTAGGATATATATGCATATATTACAGTATATATATATATATATATGTGTGATTTTAAATACTAGGAAAAGAAAAGAGAATAGAACTTTTCTTTCTGTACAATCTTCCTATTCCTCATAGTAGACATTTAAATATTAAAAAATGACCTCCTAGGGCTGGAGATTTAGCTCAGTGGTTCTGCTGCCTGCCTCGCAAGCTCAAGGTCCCAAGTTTGATCCCCGGTACCAACAAAGAAAGAAAAACGACCTCCTTCTCTCCTTCCCTTCAGTGTTCAACTGGATCTGTGGAAAATGCTAACTCAATGAGTATAGACTGCCAAGTCTTGGTTGGTTACCCTCTAGGAACCCTTTCACCATCTGGGTATAGGCACTTGTTGAGGCCTCTGAACAAATAGCCTGCTATAGTGAGGGGAAAACAATGCGACAAGGAAATCCAGAGGCTCAGCTTCTAATTCTGAATTTTTTTCTGCTTTTTTGTGGCTCTGGTCATTTCACTTCTGTGAACTTTGTTTCTATTTTTTTTTTTTTTTTGGTACCAGGGATTTAACTCGGGTCCTTTCGCTCGTGCAGCAGGTGGAGAAACCACTGAGCTAAATCCCTGGCCCTGAACTTTGTTTCTTTGTCTTTTATAGACATGATTGGAGCCAGGTGTGGTGGCACATGCCTCTAATCCCAGAACTTGGGAGGCTGAGGCAGGAGAACTGGAACAGGTTCAGGGCCAACCTGGGGTACATAATGAGTTCACGGCCAGCCTGAACTACAAAGTGAGACCCTGTCTCAAAATAAAATTAGACATGATTGGGCTATATTCTTAAGAGTCTTTCTAGTTCTAAACTTTGGTACTTTTTTAGGTTCACATTTCACATATATGTGTGTTTGGCCCCATTTCCTAACAAGATCTTTATAGACCAAAAATGACCCTGAAAAGCATCCAACCAAGCCTTTGGCAAGACATGGTGGTATTTTTACTCAATATTATCAATTTCATATTCTAGACTTCAGTTGTATGTCTTCTCATTTATCTGGAGCTGAACTCTTACTCTCTCAATTTGGTCCATTCTTAAAAGACCCAGAATAACATCAACTTTGTAGACAGAAATACGGAGCAGCTTTATGTGTTTATTTTGTATGAAGTTGTGCAGAAGTACACATACCCAGGTCAGCAATTAGAAACTGTTGTCTACTGCATATGATTATGTAAGTTTAACTCTGCTCCTTGTAATTACATACTCTTAAGGTGCTGAAGCGGGCTGGAGATTTAGCTCAGTGGTTCTGCCACCTGCCTCGCAAGCACAAGGTCCTGAGTGTAATCCCTGGTCCAAAAAAAAAAAAAAAGATGCCGAAGTTTACTGGATGAATGCCAGAAGATGTCTCCTTGATTATATCAACTTTATTGACCTGACTCATGAACTAATTCTCACTATTTTCAGTTTCACTTCTGATGGTGGATTCCTCAAGAAGGAATTTCTTATCCTGAAATCTTTCTCTTTCCCTATAGATCATTTGTAATTGTATCTTGTTATTTAAAGATGGCCTTCAGCTTCCTCTTACATACTGTACATTTCTCTCATACAGTAGATTTTACTTCAATAGATTCAAGTTATTAGATTCCAGACTAATGCCAAGCATAGAATAAAATATATAAACTTCTATTAAATACCATGGCCATTTTACCTATTACTATCATCATTAAATTTTTTTAGATAGACTAGTCTTCATAAGATTAAATAATAAGCATCTTCAAGGGGTGTGCTTCTGCTTTTGTGATCCTGAAGCTAAATGTTAAGATTAGTATTACACTGGAAAAAAACTAGAAAGAGGAAATTGTATTTTGAAGATATAATGCCATTTCACAGGCAGAGCTACTTATTTGAAATTATCAGACCACTTTTAATATGGTGGCATTTCTCATCAAAATGGAGGACATTAATTTGTAATATCTTTCAGAATGATTAATAAAATTGCTAATTGTTCCTGCTGTGGGCAATGTGCTTAGGTCTTTGGCAATGATTGCAGATATTAGTAACCTTTATGTATTTAAATTTATTTAAAGCTAAAAATGGGAGGGAAATGAACCATCTAAAGCAAAAGAAACAATTATTTTCTCCTGCAAATTCACTGTTTAAAAAAAAAATCACTGTTTAGTGTCTTTTAAATATATTATCTCATTTTTGCCCCTTCTACAGGTGAGTTCTGAGAAGCTACATAGTTTTTCTCTAGATTTTCCAACTACTGTAGTTAAGTGGCTGAATTGGGAGTTGGCTACAAATCTGTTTGATTCTAGAGCCCTTGTCCCTCCTCCCTCCTTGACCCTAGAAAATTGGGGAATAGATAGTATTTTCTGTGTTTCTTTCATCTATATGATTTAGCCTTTTTCTCCTCCCAGGATAATACCCTTCAAGCTGAATGGCCCTCAGCAGATGAACCCACCACCAGCAATATTTCACCACTTGATTTCAGCTCTGATCCTCCCTCAACCACCGGCAGGGAACTCTGGTCAGAAAGTCCTTTGGGGGATTTAGTGTCTACACCTAAATTAGCCTCTCCCTTCAAGGTGGTCCTCGGTTCTTCCCCAAAGGTTTTAGAGGTTAGCGGCTTGACTCTTCATTCTGTCACTCCAGCAGTGCTTCAGAATGTCTTGCCTGTGGCTTCTGAGGAGAGGACATCTGGATTTCACTTATTAGAAAATGGTGAGGAATTTTAATCTCTTTTCATATATCTATATTGTATATGATGAAAAGGATTTTAAAGAGAAAAAGGCCTATGCTGAACAGAAAAACATAGTAGCATTCACTAGGAAGAAATTGCCTTGAGAAACGTGTGTGAGAGAGGAAACAATCAGCTTTAATTGGTGATCTAGATAGTCCAAACTAATAAATAGAATTAACTTGGAGATGAAATAGAAATCAATTAAAAAGCTTTTTGAAGGTCATTCTAAAGATTATATAATTTAATTAAATTACTACTACCACTACTATTAAAGAACTACATTATTTGCTTGAATATTTAAATGGTAGACAAATGGCATCAAAGATTATTTCTCATTAACTGTGGAGGCTAATCTGAAGATTTTAGGTTATGGTTGTATTGAGAAGGGGATAACTTGAACTAAGGCAAGATAAATAAATGAAATAGATAAATAAATGAAAGTAAAATAGATGATCTAGATTTTGTAGAGGAAAGGAAAAATAAATGTGACTTAATAATGGAACATAAATGTGAAAAAGGAAGGTGAACAAAGATGGGAGTAGCGAGCTCAAGATTTTGAAAATTGGGTGAATCTGAAGGATGACAGAAAATAAACATGAGAGAAATTGAGAATTCAGGGAGAATCACAATTTCCAGGAAAATTTCTCCCTAAATTTCCACTGGATTCAGTCTTTGTTGTCAGCATAGCTATCAGGAGTCTCCTATTTTCATGGATAAAAATATCAAATGTTTGAGGATTAAATATTTCAATAGTCAAAGACTTATCTTCAGAGATGAGTGGTCTATATTCACAAATGATTACTTCAGAGTACAAACACATTATCATGTCTTCTTGTTTGTTTGATATAAAAGTCAGCAACTTTCCTGCTTAGTAGAAAAAATAGGTAACTTGTTTTATTAGGAGAAATAAGAATATATTTTTGCAACTTTGTAGATTAATGAATGTAAACTTTACTTTTAGGATTAGCCAATGTTGAAAAGTCAGAAGATTTTCTTTCTGTTGACCCATTGCCTTCAGGTTCACTCATTCAACGTGTGCCAAAACAAACAATACCACCCTTGGAAGACTCTGGTGTGTCCCTGACATCTTCACCAGATCTGATCTCTTCTGTTACCTTAGATCTTCTTGCTAAAGAAGTAACTGTACCTTTTGGCTTTGACCCCTTGGCCTCTGAAGTCAAAGACCAATTGGAAGCAAGCCATTTGTTTCCAGACATGTCTATGGAAAAACAATTCATATTTGAGAGTGGTTTAGGTTCTGGGTCTGGACAAAAGGTGGATCTGATTTCTTGGACATGGAGTGAGACTTCATTAGAGAAGAGCACTGAACCACTGTCTAAGTCATGGCTTGAAGATGAGAATTCACTTTTGCCACCTGAAGGTATAAATGAGAAGCTTGTTATAGATAACACAATGGATTACACAGACCAAATTATTGAGCATTCAAAGTATAAGCATGATGAGAAATCCACAAAATTTGCAGAGGAAGAGCCCCTTGTTGAACCTACTGTGTCCATCTTGGCAGTGTCTGTAATTCATTCTACTTCTCCAACTTTTTCTAAGCACACTTCAGAGATTCCTGATGTTGATTACCACACAGTTACCAAAGCACCTTTTCTACTGACAGCTACTTCTTCTGATAAAACAAATCAAGTGAATACCTTCCTGATCAAGGATAGAGAACAAACTACAGAGTCATCTAGCCACGAATGGTTTGACAGCAAGACTTCAATGGTGAAGCCAGATCTGCAGCCCGTGTGGACCATATTCCCAGAATCAGATATAGCTTCAGCAAGCACTTCTTCCCTAGGGAAATTACACAGAGACTCCTTGGCAAGTACACCACAGAGTACTGATGGACTCTGGTTGAAAACTTCCATGACACAGTCCACCAGATTACCTCCAACCACAAGCTCCACCCTGCTGGAGGATGAAGTAATTAAGGGCGTACAGGATATTTCATTAGAACTGGACCGGGTAGGCACAGATTACAATCAGCCTGAGCTAACCCGAGAGCAAAATGGCAAAGTTGGTAGTTATGTGGAAATGTTTACAAATTTTCACTCCACGGAGATGGCTACTGTGGCTCAGCCCACAAGAGGAGGTGACTTGAGTCATGCCCAGACTGCAGGAGCTTTGGTAGTTTTCTTCAGCCTCCGAGTCACTAACATGCTTTTTTCAGAAGATCTATTTAATAAAAACTCTTTGGAATATAAAGCCCTGGAGCAAAGATTCTTAGAATTGGTAAGCTCAACACTGAAACATGAGGATGAGTGAATAATCATATACGAATCTTTTGTCTTAATCAAGCACACCAAGACCGAGCCCAGGAAACTGGTCTGTTGTGTGGATTAATTTCCTACTACCAACAGAGATAGTATCATGGCTTGGGAGTTGGTAGGAGAACAGTAAGACAGGTGGATTCAAGAAATGGAAAACAGAAATATGGCATGAGGGTGATATGAATAGGTTAGATACTGAAGATCAAATTTCATGAATTCTGGGACTAAAATAAAATGTAAAAGCTCACACTTATTGTGTGAACAGGTTTGTGAGTATCCATGCCTTTACTGTTGTGACCTGTTAGCAAAGAAAAGAAAAGAAAATCCCTGGGTGTTAAAAACCATTTATGAGTTCTATGTGGTTCCCAAATATCATAGTATTCTCATGACATCATGAATATCTTATAACATTCTTAATTTATAGCTTCATATCATTCATAATTTATAGTTTTTTAACAGTTTGAATGTAGATATAATATAAATAGGAAAAGTAGGCTAGGAGCTCATCCTTGTTTCTTTGTTTTTTGTCTTTTTGGTGTATATTGAACAAATGAAAAACTTTGTCAATAAATTAATCATTTTTCATGTATTACAGTTGGTTCCCTATCTTCAGTCAAATCTCTCAGGGTTCCAGAACTTGGAAATTCTGAACTTCAGAAATGGTAGTATTGTGGTGAACAGTCGAATGAAGTTTACCAAGTCTATCCCTCCTAATGTCAACAATGCTGTATACATGATTTTAGAAGACTTTTGTACCACTGCCTACCAGACCCTGAACTTGGCTATTGATAAATACTCCCTTGATGTAGAATCAGGTAATGATACTATTTACCATTGTGATCTCTTAATAAAATCCAGTGAGTATTCTTATGTGTTTTCTTTTTCATTGAGTCAAGGTGAATCTAATACTCAGGAAAAAAGAGTACTATGTCAGATCAGTTTTCCACATCTTGATAATTAGTAAAATATTTCTTCCAAATACATCAATATCATTCTGTTTTCATAGGGTTGTTCACAAATATTTTCTTTACTGATTCACCTCCTTCCTCTTTCTACACACTCTACTAGGCTTTCCATTTTACTTATCCGTTGCATCTATTTTTGCTGTAAGTTTATTTTTCACTTACTTTTTTCAGTTTTTGTTTTATATTAGTACATGTTTGCATTACAAAATGTTTACATTCCTTGTGGGAGGTTGATACATGTACATAACATCTCAATTCTTTTTTTGTTCCCCTTTCCTTCCTCTCCCTCCCCCCTCCTCCATCCCATTTCCCATTTGATAAAAATTTTCTTCCTACTTTTTATCTATCTTTTATTTTGCCTCTATTTATATTTTGAGTTTCTCATATAAGAGAAACCATGTGATAGTTAAGCTTGTGTGTCTGATATATTTCACTTAATATTATGATCTTAAGGTACATCCATTTTCCCACAAAGGACTCAAGTTTATCCTTCTTTATGGAAGAGTAGCACTCTATTATGTATAAAAGCCCCATTTTTAATATCCATTCATTTATTGATGGATATATAGGCTACTTTCAAATTTAGCTATTATAAATTGTGCTGCTATAACGGGAAGCCCCCCAAATCTAGACTCTCTTCTATGTATCTTTTAAAAGCTTTGGTATTCATTCCCAATGTTTCAAGTTTTATGTAAATATCACTCTTCACATTTTTATATGGAAACAAATCAAACTTCTCTGTTGAGTTCCAGAATTATTATCTAGCCACTTACTTGTTAATCTCCACTTGGATGTATCTGATATAGCTTATATATGTCAAACTTAAGATATTCAAGAGTGAGCTCTTGTTTTCTGTATCTCCTCATTCTCCAGTTAAATCTACTCCTTCTCTCAACTTCTCCATCTCCATAAATACAAGACTTACCTACTCAATTACTTAAACTAGAAACCTGAGCAGTCATTCCCGATACCATCATCACCCCACACTTTCAGTTAACACTTATTGTAATTCAATATATATCTCAAACCCAGACTCATTGTATCTTAACCACTTCTACTCAAGTGGTGTGTGAGGAACTAAAAACAGGCTAGTTTGACTGGAAGACAGTGAGCAAAGAGATTAATTTCACTGGATGATGCTGGGGGAAGAAGTAAAAGATAAGAAATAAGAGATAATGGTGATTTGAGCCATATTACCATTATCTGTCATTTGGACCAATTTTCCTGCTTCCTTTCCTGTTCCCCCTCCTCTCTATGCTCTAGACGGCAGCCATAATGCCTTTTTTAAAAACAGTCATCAGATTATTTCACTTTGCTGCTTAAAATATTTCACTGGCTTCTTGCTTTGGCAGCAAGAAGGCTTGGTCCTCAATTTCTTCTCCAATATCATCCAGTGAAACTGACCTCTTTATTCACTGCATAATTTATATTGGGTTTCTCTCTCTCTTTCTTTCTTTCTTTCTTTCTTTCTTTCTTTCTTTCT